AAAAATTTTTTTCGATTTTTATTGGTTATTTCATTTCCCAATAAACTATTTGTTTTCGAAAATACCTTCATTTCTCTGTATTACTATAATGAAATTGGTAAAAGAAAATATTTTGATAAACGATCAGAAATGAAAAAATCAAGTCATTTTTTTCATTTGATTTAACCTTCTATAGAAAAATTTATCTAATATTAATATTGTTGTACAAATTGAAAGAGCATAATAATGAGTTTGAAATTAAACATTCGAAATTTTAAAAGGAAAGTTCAAAAAGGAACTATGTGATACACAGCAATTCAAATATGTTATGCAATCAATATCGTTTAGTTTTTCTTCTTCAAACTTCGATGATAACTACTTTACCAAACACAGAAACAGTCAAATTTTTCAATGAAATAGAAGGTATATATGAACAACCTGTAACATATCAATATGAATCATCCATCCATCCTTTAAAGAACGCAATATATTTAAGCACATGGTCTCGTTAGATATTTGCTAGCGAAAAATTTAAACTTCTCACCAAAACATAATATTTTTGATTATGTTATACAGTTTGTCTAGCACTTATAATTCAAATTCTTTGATATTATTTTCATAGCTTTCTATTTTTTTTTATGTTCATTTTACAGCTTGCTGATAGCTCTCATGATTATATGAAATATTATGGAACGTTTGATGAAGACAAACGATCACGCGATTATATTTCAGATAAATTAGTAGTTTGTGTTACTATTCGCACGCCCCGGTGGCCTATTTCTCATGAATATGATCGTAATTCATCACCTTCATTTGGTAAACCTATTTCATGGTTTCTTTTTTTTGTTGTTGAAATTAGTCTATGATTGATTACTTTGAATGTTTTCTTCTATTCTTGCCATCCGTACGATCCATGTTATTCGTTTCTGATGAGAAAATTCCATAGGTTACATCATTATACTAAATATTGAAAATTATTACAATCGATTCTTGCTGATGATATACAAGATTTAATTGAAACTTTTTAAATATCACATGCTACGTCAAGTGTTATTGCTTTAACACAGCCCATAAATCTTGGATTGGTGAACTTATCTATATCGAAGTTAGATGTCATTCAAGTATACATGCTGATTTGATTACATATTATTTTATATGAATATTTTCGACTATTTCCTATGGAATAATGTATAGAATATCAAGATTTACAACATCAAGTTGAATGTTTAATATTTCTGAAATAAAATTTTTGTTTTTTTGTTATTGTTTTTCATTGAAAATACCCATAATACTATTTTGCCCTTTATTGTCAATAGTGAATGAAATGTTCTTTATTCATTTTTTTCGAAGAAAGTGAAAGAAAAACAAGAAAACAGACATGTTGTGATCGATTTACAGCTGTCGATGTACATTAACATGATTTGAAAAGATGATTCGTTTTGTTTTTTACTAGCGAAAAATTTTCTTGCCTTTCGGATTTTGTACAGTGAGAAATTGTTGATTAAAAGAAGTATTTTTATTGGATATTAAAAAAAAAAACCTGTGAAATTGAAACTAACAGAACGATTTATTATTTTTTGATTATAGTTATCTAAATTAAAACTCAGAAAAGAAGGCAAGTAAACTGAAGGACTCATTGACTGAAATGCTTCCTAAAAAAAAAACAAAAGTATATGATTTCATAGATAGGTAGTAAAAAACCATATTTTCAAGAATAAGATCTGAATCAAACAAACTCGATCTCATATATCATGAAACAATAAATAAAAACATGCATACTACGTATTTAATTAATGGTAATGTATCAATATTTTTGTTTTTCGATTGACACAGATTTACTAAGTTATAAAATAAAATAACAGAATAATACTAAAAACCTTCATATAAAAGAAAAACAGAATATTAACAATGATCTTTACATTTTTGTTTTTTGCAATAGCTTTCAATGTCAACTATTTATTTTTTTTTACAATAAAATGTAAATCATCACTTTTCAAACTTGAGAGATATGGATAAACTTTTCAAAAAATCATTAATACATATTTTATCAACATAAACTCAAGGATCATTAATTGAATACTATATCAAAAATAGATTTCCTTTTTTTTTTTTATATTCAATGTGACACATTATTTATGTATACTCTTCGTTTTTTCTTTTTTTACAACCAACACATATCGAATTGCAAATAAGCAAAAAAAAAAATAATAATCACATAAGTGGTCTTTATGCTGTGTATGATCGTTGAAGGTTGCAAACATTTTTCGTCTTCGTTCCTTTCTTTTTTTCTTTAGCAAACAGCAAATGACGTGTATAAAAAAAAATAAATAAAAAGGAAACAAAAATATTTTTCACATTAGTGACTACTAACTAAAGTTGGTGTGTGTATGCGTGCGTATGTCTTTCGAAAGTAACGTTACGAATTTACAGTGTGTCATAACGGCATGTAGACGTCCAGCAAATGTTTTATGTTATTGTTGTAAAGAAAATCTTTGTCGAAATCATTTTAATGAACATGATTATCTTAATTCAAAACTAAATCTTTTAGTTAATGAAATTGATACATTTGATAAACAATTATTAGCAGTTGATTTAAGAAAATATATTCAAAATTCTAGTGATAAACTTCAACAATGGCGTTTTGATAGTTATAAAACTATTGATCAATATTGTGATCAAAAATATCGTGAAATAGAACAATATATGATAAAAATAATTAATCAAAAACGTGAAAATATTGAACAAATTCGTATAAATATGCTTGAACTTGTTCAAAAACGTCGAATGACACTTGAATTAATTGAATCATTAACATCAAATCTTCGTATAGTTGAAACTGAAATGAATGATATTGATCAAAAATATCTTTCATTTCGTACAACACCATTAATATTAAATCAAGATTTAATTTATATTGATGAATTATCAATAGAAGAATTTGATCTTAATTCATTAACATCAGTATATAAAACAATTGATTATACACGACAAGGTTTAAATCCAATAGCAAGTAATAATCAATATTTATTAATACATCGTGAACCAAATTTATGTTTAATTGATCGAAATTTAAGAATAAAAAAACAAGCATTATGGAATCATGGACAAATACTTGATATGTGTTGGTCATCAGCATTAGAAAAATTTTTTCTTATTACACTTAATCAAATTTATATATTTGATGTTAATACAATATCTATTGAACGTGTAGATGCAACACAAAAATTACATTGGCTTTCTTGTACATGTTCAGATCAATCATTATTTTTATCAACAAATGAAAAAGGTTCATCAATATGTGAATTTAATCTATTAAATTCATTCCAAGCAGCTAAAAGATGGGAATCACCAGATACATGTTCTAGAGATGAACGTATTCATGATATGATTTTTAATAAAGGAACACTTATTTTAATTATTGAAAATTTATTAACAGAAAAAATTCGTTTAGAATTAAGATCATCGGCAAGACTTGATCGTTTATGGTCACTTCAATTAGATATTAGTTATCCAACAAAAAAAATTAGTTGTTGTTTACTTAATAATGATCAATGGTTGATTATTGATAGTAATAAATCACGTCTTTTTCAAGTAACAATGGATGGTAAATTTAAATTTACATGTCATTATAATCCAATACCTTCTGCTGCTTGTCGTTTTGGTTTCGATTTATTAGCTATATCAACACTTAATGGTGTTAATATACATAAACTTTAAATTATGCACAAAATTTGACTTACATATTCGTAGTAATTAGAAATAAAAATGACATTTTGCTGTATACCATTATATTTTTCGCA